GACCAGGAAGATGACAACGACCAGGAAGATGACAACGACCAGGAAGATGAGTGAAGAGCCTGAAGAGCTGAAACACCGCGCAGTCTCCAGACAACCCTGAAGATCCTGAAGAGCTGACACTGCATCATCTCCAGACGACCTGGGAGACCCTGAAGAGCTGTAACACGACATCGTCTCTGGACGACCCTGAAGAGTTGTGACACCGTGTCGTCTCCGTGCTGCTCACAGTAGACGACGCGACCCTTCAGAGCTGTGACACTGCGTTGTCTCTGTGCTGTACCGTGCTGCCCACAATAAACAGACGACACTGTCATCTCCGTGCTGTAACACTACGCCGCTTGTCCCGACTCTCACTCCCTCACTCAGGAAACCTGTTCAGCTGTCCCCCCCGGGTTGGGACAAGCCATTACGCTAACTGCTGGTTCTCGGAAAAGTGTGGTTTCTAGTAATGGAGAAAATCAGGGTCCCCTTGCGACCAGCAGTTAGCGTAATGGCTATGTCACTGAACTCTCACGTAGTCAACCGCAGTTCAAGTCCTGGACCCAGTGGCTTAAACTCACACTGGGCGCGTGTGCGTGTGTGCCCAAGACCCTGAGAGGAGAGTGGAGGAAGAGGGATTGCGGCGTGACCACCACCACCACCACCACCCCCGCAGGGTGATTTCTTGCTTTCTGTCTCTGTCTCTCTGGTGAGCGCACATGCCCTGTAGCAAAAACCTCTCAAAAAAAAAAAAAAATCAGGGTCCCCAAAAGGGAGTTGAGATGCATTTTTGTCCTCTAAAAAATAAAAAAAACAAAGAGGAAAAAATTAATTATGATGGTAAAAGCTGTTTGGCAGGTTTACTCAAGATTTGGCAAGTCCAGCCCAGGGTGGTCCTTTGCCTATTGGTTAGGGGAACTGGAGCCCACATGGTTGACTGCTGTTCAAATCCCAGCCCCAGTAGCTTCAAAAGCATGCCAGGCACATGTGTGTGTGCCCCAAATTCTGACACGATGGAGAAATGAAGGAAGGACGTGTCATAATCAGACCTCCCTGGCGGGTGCCTTCTCTCCCCTGTCTCTCTGGCCAGCACACATGTCCTCTGGCAAGTAAAAAAAATAAAAAATTAAAACCCCAAAGCCGTATGCAAAATCTTAGGTGCTCACTGTATTTGAAATGCACTACTTACAGAAGATCTAATGAAAATTTTTTGTAAAATTGAATTATGATTTTATAATGCAAATAACCATTTCTATTTTACCTTATTTTTTTAAAGAATTATTTTATTTAACTTTACCTATTTATTTATTTTTAATTTTATCAGAGAGGGACAGTGTGAGTGTGAGAGTAAAAGAGAGAGAAAGTGAGAAAGCAAGCTGCTAGGTCCGGGACTCAAACTGCAGTCGGCCATGTGGGAGTCCAGCGTCCTTAACCACCATGCCACCTGCCAGCCCCAATTTTACCTTATTTTACAACCCAGATGTTTGCCTAAGATTCTGTGTGTGTGGATAAGGCACATATGTTATGGAAATTAAAAATCAGGACACTAGCTCATGGACATTACATGGAATCCACTGCTGGGATCTCCAGGTTCCCTCCCCCCCAGTCATTCGTGGTGACGGCTGTGGTGCATCCCCATCATAGCAGGGAGCCCCGTCTTTACCCCCCTCCCACGCCATTCTGTGCCCTTCTTGCTGCACTCAGAATCTTGGGAGCGGCTGCCCCTGGGTCTTCCAGCCAGGCTGGTGCAGGGAGCAAAGCCCTTCAGAAGCACACGGGGGCGGGGGTGGGAGGGGTGTTTCTGCTGGATTGCGCCTTTGCCCAGGTGGGGCGGGGCGGGCGGGGGTGACAGCTACAGTCTGGTCGCAGCATGGGCAGTGGAGGGTTTTCCTGCGGACCTTCTGAGCAGCCGCAAACCCACACGCCCTCACCGCTCCAAGTAAGGCATGCATGCTGAACACCAAAGTGTGCTGTAAAATTAGAATTTCCCGTTGAATATGTGCTTTTATAAGGTCTGGTGCATTTTGCAGTGTGATTTTATTACATCTTAGGGCCAAACATTCTCCCTAGAAACACATTTCCAAGTTCATAATGAAAATTAATAAGGAAGAGTGAAACTTGGAAATATGCTTTATAGGCAACTTTCCTTTTTTTCCACAAATACTTCTCCTTCTTAAGTGAATGGACTGTGACCAGGAATATATTCAAAGCTATGCATTATAATACCTCACTTAAGTGGAAGCCCGCCTTCTGGGGGCCTCTGTCACGGTTGCACACTCACTGAGTGCGTGTGCATGACAAATGCCTCTGAGCCGCAGCCTGCTGTGACAAGACCCACGGACCCTGCTCTGTACTGTAGGAAGGACTGCTCCCAGGGTCTCGAGCAGCCTGCACGTGAAATGGTCTGCACAGAATACGGCAGGAAGCTCCCTTTCCCCTGGCAGGCTGACCAGAGGATGAGGGAGCTCACCCGGGAGGGCAGCGTCAGAACACACAAGCACTGGGGCCGGCCAGGGTGAGGGCACACAAGCACGCACAGACACGGATGGTGTACAGCAGGCTCGACTGTTGCAGATCTCAGAGGTGCAAGTTGCTTTAGGGAGCACCTAGTCAGAGGCCAGATGGTGGCACAATGGTGATGCAACTGGAGCCACAGCAGAAGGTCCCCAGTTTGTGCCCCAAGACCACCACATTACACACTGGGTGTGGATTCGTGCGCCCGTGATCGGGGCTGGCGGAGGCTGGGCTGTGCTGTGGCATGAGGCCCTCCTGGGGGTCCCTGTCTATCTCTGTCATGGAAGAAACAAGCAAATCAATCACAAAGCATCTAGTCCAATGCCTGTATTTGTAAAGGAAGCAGAGCCTTTCTTCCCTGCTACTCTCTGTTAACCCTTGCCGCTACTCTCTAGGAGTCAGAGTATGAAGAATTACTGAGATTGAGAGAGAGAAAGTAACTTGCATAAGCCACAGCTAAAATTCAGGTCCCCGAACTCCAGATCAAGAATTTGAATCATTAATAAAAGGCTAAACTACAGTCTCTAAATTTTCAAGAAGCACACATAAAGAGTCTGTAAAAAGTTTGTAGAAAATGGGACCAGCAGTTCGTGTAATGGCTATGTCGCTGAACTCCCATGTAGCCGACCACAGTTCGAGTCCCAGACCCAGGGACTTAAACTCAGGTGTGTGTGCGTGCGTGCCCAAGATCCTGAGAGGAGAATGGAGGAGAAGGAATTGTGGCATGGCCATCCCCCCCCGGGGGGGGGGGTGATTTCTCCCTTTCTTTCTCTCTGTCTCTTTCTGTCTTCCTGGCAAGCGCACATGCCCTATAGCAAAAACCTCTCCAAAAAAATTTAAAAAAAGAAATAAAGAAAAGAAAAGAAAAGTACAACTCTTAAAAAAAAAAAAGTTTGCAGAAAATGCACATATCATGGGGGCTGGCAGGTGGTATAGTGGCTAAGGGCACTGAACTCCTACATGGTAGACCACGGTTTGAGTCCCAGACATGGTGGCTTGCTTTCTCACTTTCTGTCTCTTTCTCTCTCTGACCTTGTTCCTCTCTGGTGTGTGTGTATGTAAATAAATAAAGTTAAATAAAATAATTCTTTAAAAAAAAAAGAAGAAGAAAATAGATATCACAACAAAGCTAAGCATGGATTTCAAAGTTTTTTTGCACCAAAATAAATTCTTACATCAATTCTACTTTTCCACAAACTTTTTGAAGTCCCCTTATATCATATTTAAGTTCCAGGCCAGTCTGTGGTGTCGTGGTTAAAGTAGCTAGGTCCCACATGATTGCACAGCTGAGTCCCAGACCCAGCTTTTAAAATGCACTGGGTGCATGTGCATGTGTGCCCAAAATCCTGAGAGGAGAATGGAGAAGGGGTTACGGTGTGGTCCCCACTGGGGGTGATCTCTCTCTTTGTATCTCTCCAGTGAGTATACATACTCTATACCAAATTTTTTAAAGATGTAAAGGTTTAAGTAGCTCTACTGCTTTTTTATATGTTGGCCTTTAAGGGCTCAGCTCTGATCCCCTGACAAGTAAATGACGAGGAATGCCTACCTGGGGCTGGGTAAGTGGGGCAGCTCCACGATGCCTCACTGGTTAAGCCCGAGGCACCGTGCCAGCGTGGCTGCAAGAGGCCCCACACCTCAGGATGTCCTCTGCCCTTTCAGTCCAGGGGATGTTGGGTATTCCCAAGAACCCTTCCCAAGAAGGGGAAAATCAGCGCTGGCGTCCTTCCTTCTGATCTTAAAAGCCAGTTTGCAGGAACTGGGTACCCTTGGCAGCTTCACTTTTTAGGCCCTCAGAAACTGAATTCGTTATTAGAATGCAGAAGGCAGTTCCCTTTCCTGTTATCTCAAGAGAGCGGATCCAGGGACCAGCAGTTAGCGTAATGGCTATGTCACTGGACTCCCATGTAGTCGACCGTGGTTCGTGTCCCAGACCCGGTGGCTTAAAACTCACACCGGGCGCCATGTGCGTGCCCAAGATCCCGAGAGGAGAATGGAGGAGAAGGGATTGCAGTGTGGCCGTCCCCCATGGGGGGTGATTTCTCACTTTCTGTCTCCCTGTCTGGGGAGCGCACGCGCCCTATAGCAAAAACCTCTTAAAAAAGAGAGAGAGAGAGAGAGAGAGAGAGCGGATCCAGGAGATGGTTTGGGCAAGTCCTTCCTAAGTTTCCCATGTGCGTGGGCGCAGGCTCACACATGTGAGAACACACCATCCTGTCTTCTTGTCCCCCGTCTTTGTTCCTGAACTCAAGGACAGCTCCCGCAGCAACAGAAGACTGTTTCCACCTGCTGTCACTCTGATTTGATTACACGTGAAACCGAACTGGTGTGCAAGGCACGCCCCGGGACGCTGCTGCATCTTCCCAGCTCAGCCTGGGTCAGTCCTTGGGAAGGAGACTTTCAACGACCCTGTAAAGGATCTGACAGGGAATATGTGATGGAGGCGGCGCCTGGGGGTTCCTAAGTCAGCAGGAGGCAGACTGATGTCCCAGACTGCTGAAAGGGGGCCCCATCTTTCAGGTGGGCTGGAAAGTGGAGGTCCTGAAGGCCTCTTTCCCCAAAGCTCCAAGCTTGGCCCACTTCCAGTGTGGATAATTACATTCCCTTTTCCTAAATACTCCCTGCAGCTTAAACTGGATGCAGGCTGCTTCTTTTCTGCCCTAAAACACTGCAACGTTGCTGTGTGGCTATGAGACAGCTGCCACGGCCCATCCCTGAGGAGGCTGAGGGGAATCGAGTGGGTCATTTATAAAGCCGGTGAAGTGCTTGGGGATGAAAGTGCTCAATATCCTCCAAACGCAGCCTGGGGTGGTTAGGCTGGCGGTCAAATACCACAGCAGATTAAGCCGGTAATCCCGATGTAATCGCTGGGGGCTGGCCTGCCCCTCAGCCCCTGCCCCCTGGACATGCTGCGTTCTTCTCAGGCTGGTTTGATGTTCCGATCATTGCTGTGGGGCCTTGGCTGTCTCCCTCTATGAATACAGGCAGCGTCCATTGTGGGGGTAGGGAACAAATGACACTAACATGCTTATTAACACCGACTGCAAGAAATTCCTCCCAGACAGATGAACACCTATTGGCGATTGTTCCTCTATAAATTACTTGGAGTTTTTCTAACAGAAAAGGGCTTTGGCCAATTATCAAATTTGTATAATTAGCTGGGAAAATGGAAACTATTTCTATTTACTGCCACAAAACTATACCCACAGCTTACTTTATAGAATGTACAAGCAAAAGCCAGCTCAGGTCCAGGGATTATTTATACTTAAAAATTAATAATAAGGCTTTGCAAGGGTGGCTGTGGGGGAAGAGGGAGGGAGAAGAGGAAGACAAAGATTTGCTCCTGCCATCCTAGAGCAGGGCCCGGAGGAGCAACTGGGCTGTCTCTGCCCACCGGTTTCCACTTAGGTCATTCCGGAAAAGAAAAATTTAGTAAGAAAAAAAGTTGGGCCTAGTCTCAACCCCCACACTAGTTTTGTGCAGATGTAAAGCACGGGGCACTTAGAAAGAACTGGGCTGGCTCAGAAACTAACCAGTGGTGGGATTCTGAACTAGGAGCTAACCTCTGAGCGTCTGCTTTTTCCAACAGTAAAATGGGGACCACATGGGAACCAGCAGTTGGCGTAATGGCTGTGTCGCTGGACTCCCATGTAGTCGACCGCAGTTCGTGTCCCGGACCTGGTGGCTTAGAACTCATGCCGGGCGCGTGTGCATGCGTGTCCAAGATCCCGAGAGGAGAATGGAGGAGAAGGGATTGCGGCGTGACCATCCCCCCTGGAGGGTGATTTCTCGCTTTCTGTCTCTATGTCTCTCTCTGTCTGGCGAGCGCACGCGCCCTATAGCAAAAAAAACCTCTCAAAAAAAAAATGGGGACCACAGTACCTACCTCAATTCGTAGAAAGCATTTAGTGTGGTGCCCAATAACAGCTGCAATATTGATAACATTCTTTGGTAAATTTAAGCCAAATGGTGTTCTCTTGTAACAGTGTTCTCTATTTTTGCTTCTAAGAAAAAGGAGTTTGGGGCCAATAGGTAGTGTGGTGGTTAAGGTGCTGGATTCCCATGTGGTCAACCCTAGTTCAAGTCCTGGACCCGGCAGCTTGAAAATCATGCTGGGCGTGTGTGTGTGCATGTGTGTGTGCGTGTGTGTGTGTGTGTGTGTGTGCCCAAACTCCTGAGAGGAGAATGGAGGAGAAGGGATTGTGTCATGGCCACTCCCAGGGGGGTGATTTATCCTTTCCCTCTCTAGCAAGTACATGCACCCTATGGCAAAAACCTTTAAAAACATAAATAAAAGGAAGAAAGAAAGAAAGAGTAAAAGAAAAAGGAGTTTGGAGGCCATGGTCCATTCCCACCTGCCACCAGAAGTAACGGTTAACGTATTGGGATGGAGAGGCACCGACCGAGTGCTAGGATGAAGGAACCTGGACTTGCTTTTTTTTTTTCTTTGTTTGTTTTTTGTTTTTATTTAGTTTGCTGTAAGGCATGTGTACTCACCACAGAGAGGCAGAGACACAAAGAGAAAGAGAATGAAAGTGAGAAGTCACCCCTCAGGGTGAAGGGCCACACCACAATTCCCTCTCCTCCATTCTCCTCTCAGGAGTTTGGGCATGTACGCACACCCCGCCCCCCCATGTGTTTCTCAGGCTGCCCGGTGGAGGACTTGACCCACGCAGTCAGCCACGTGGGATCCAGCCATCTTAACCACCAGGCCGCTGGCTGGCCCTGGACTTGTTTTTTAATTTTAACTTCATGTCCAAGAACAACAATGAGGCCTGGGTTTTATTTGTTTGTTTCCACAGCCACAGCAGCTATGGCTGTTTTATTTGCTTCTCTTGGGGTTATTTGCTCTGTGTGGAGAAGAGCAGTGATGCTGGGGCTGGGGCAAGGAGCTGCGCTGGTCTCCGGCCTGGTTGTGGTGGTAGTTAGTCCACGTGACCTCTGCTTTCATAAGCTCCCCGTTAGGCATGCCAAGGCTGTCGGCCCCTGGGAGCACTATAAATTACAATGCATTGTGAGGATATTACTACTGTATTGGTTTCCGCCGAATCAGTGTCATATGCTAAACACATCAAGATTTTCAATAGCACCAGCCTGAACCGATTGGGACTGGAGCCAGGCAGCTCATAATAGGAGGGATCGACACTCAGCTCTGCAACGGGACACACGCGGGACACACAAGTTAAGACTGGAGACGGAGGGAATGCAAACCAGTGTAATCCATGTTGTCGGTTCTAGACATTTATGAGCTGTCAGAAAAAGGGAAAAAGAAATTCCCTCGCCAATACTACCTGTCGATCAGGCCCAGGAAGAAATTAAAGTCAAGAATAATGACAAGAAAATAACCCAGCCCCTGATTCCATCCTTGGTCTTCGCATTTCAGGTAGAACTTAATAAAAAGACCAAGTCCTGCTGCTGACAGACTCAGACCCTGGGTCAAAGAGCCAGCCACCTCGCTCTGGGGAGTCAGCTAAGGCCAATGTGCAGATCTGGGAACAAGGAGGGATGGCTCAAACAGCTCCCAGATACCTGAGCTGGAACCCCATTCATGAGCCTATTCTTAGAGGACAAGAGCTGCAGGAGTGAAAATGACAATGCTGTAAAAAAGAAAAGAAAAGAAAAAAAAAGCTGCCTCCACTCTCCAATTCAGACATTCTTCAAGAAAGGGTCAGATTTTGGGAACCAGCAGTTAGCGTAATGGCTATGTCGCTGGATTCCCACGTAGTCGACTGCGGTTCGTGTCCCGGACCCGGTGGCTTAAAAAAACTCACGCCGGGCGCGTGTGCGTGCGTGCCCAAGATCCCGAGAGGAGAATGGAGGAGAAGGGATTGCGGTGTGACCATCCCCCCTGGGGGGTGATTTCTCGCTTTCTGTCTCTATGTCTCTGTCTGTCTGTCTGGCGAGCGCACGCGCCCTACAGTGAAAATCTCTCCAAAAAAAATAAAAGAGAAAGGGTCAGATTTCAGGACCAGCAGTTAGCGTAATGGATATGTTGCTGGACTCCATGTAGTCAACCGCAGTTTGAGTTTGTACTCAGTGGCTTAAACTCACGCCAGGTGCGTGTGCATGCGTGCCCAAGATCCCGAGAGGAGAATGGAGGAGAAGGGATTGCGGCATGGCCATTCCCCCTGGGGGGTGATTTCTCGCTTTCTGTCTCTCTGTCTCTCTTTGTCTTTCTGGCAAGTGCATGCACCCTATAGCAAAAAACTCCAAAAGAAAAAAGAAAAAGAAAGGGTCAGATTTAATAGTGCCACCTTGAAGGCAAGGTCAGGAGCTGCTTGCTGCCTTTGATACTTGCTTGACCTGGAGTGGCTTCGGTAAAAAAAAAAAAAAAAAAAAAAAACTGGGCAAGAACTGCAGCGATAGCCTGCCTGCCCTCATCACTGCTCTGCCTACAGGGCTCCTCTGGAGGCTCCTCCTCCTCTTCCTCCTCCTCACCAACTGTTCCTCTGCGTCCCCATTCCCATCTCAGGAGAATTCTGGCTCTCTCCTTGTTTCATGGTAGGGCTGGGGTTTCGGGGTAGGGCAGGGGATGGGGTTTGCTGGTCAAAAGGACCCCCGCTGCTCTCCTGGGTCCACATCACTCTGGGAAGCAATCTTGCCACGAGGGCCTCAGCCTCCCCTGGCTTCTACACTGCTGCTGGGCTCCTCGCCCGAGCCTAAGCCTAGTAGCGCCTGTCCTAAGGGCCGGGGAGAGCTGCTGTCACTTACCGAGTAGTTCACTCGTCTTCTCGTCATATTCTTCGGCCATTTCCTTCCCGTCTGGGAACAAATAGTGCACCTTCCTTCTCCCTGCACGCAAAGCAGAGGGGGCCTGGCCTCAGTGCCTCCTCTCGCCTGGCCCCTGGCAGACTGAGGGGCTTACCTGGGAAAACCCCAAGGAACCAGCAAAGGCCTCCTGGAAACGCCTTGTCACCACGCCTGCCTTGTCACCACGCCTGCCGTGCCTTTGAGACCTGTCCTGCCTTTCAGAAGCTTTCTCCGCTGCCTCCTCCACCACCAGCAGCAGTTCCGTATTTCTCCCATCTGCAGAACGCTTCCTCCAAATCCAGCTCAAACTCCTTCCCACTGAGAAAGTCTTCCTCAGCTCCCCCTCATTCGTGCCGCCTCGTGCCTTATTCACACCCACAGTGGAGCACTGATCACACAGTATGACTCTTTTATTTTTTGGGGGGGAGGTTAGTCATAGGGTACATGCTGGAAAGCAACAGAGAGAGGGAAAAGTGAGAAATCACTTCCCGGGGGGATGGCCACACTGCAATCCCTTCTCCTCCATTCTCCTCTGGGGATCTTGAGCACGCATACACACATGCTATGATTTTTAAGTCACTCGGTCTGGGACTCGAACTGCAGTTCGCCATGTGGGAATCCAGCCACCTTAATCACCATGCCACCTGCTGGTACCCTGGCATGATTTTCAAACTACCAGGTCTGGGACTCGAATCACAGTTGGCCATGTGAGATCCAGTGCCTTAACCACCGTGCCACCTGCTGGCCCCCAAAGTATGATATTTGTAACAGCATCTGTCTCCCCGTGAGTGACATTCATCTTTCTCTCCCCAGTTCTCAAAAGCAAGCCTGTGTGCTCAGGATATGGAAGGGGTTTCCCGCCAGCCTCCTACCAGACCTTCGCTCTCACTCTCCACAGGTCTCTAGGCCATCTATCACACGGCACACGATGAAGGCCCCAAGGATTCTCTTCCCCACGAGTACTTTATGATTTCGCATCTATGTCACTATGTCATCACCGCCTGGCTTCTCTTCTAGACAGGGGATTTCACACTCCATGTCTACAGTTTCTCTAAGACCAAGCTTAGTACCCGGGGCTTCCCTAAGACAAAGCTTCACACCTGGTGCTTATTGATGGAGAGACTGCGTAAGCAACGATGCACAGTCCACTGAAAGAACGGAGGGACCACCTCTAGCCCCACCTCCCTCCTTTCATGCAGCAGAATCACTTTCTCACTTTCTTTTTACAGATAAGAGAGCAGACACAGGTGAGCTCCTCAGTAAGACTCATGACAGGGCACGAAGGCCCAGCAGTCAGGTACCCCATACATGCTGGTGAACGAGAGCCCCAAAGTATCTGTTTTCTGTTCAGTTCACTCGTCTGGGACACAGTTTCTTTAAGTCATTCCTAACCTGTGTTCTGGGGAAACTCACCAGGGTTTTCAGCATGCCCCTTGGTTCCACCACCCTTTACCATCCAAGGGGTTCTCCTGTCAGGAGTGGGGCTCAACGTGCAGCCTGTGGGTGGCTGAGTCTCTGGCCTAACCAGCTCCCCTTGGCATCCAGTTTGGGGTCCAGGCAGGATGCAGTGCTACTACCGACCAGGTACTTTCCTGGTCTTAGTGAACTGGATTCTCACAATAAACCTGTGTGTACCCATTACCTGTATTTCACAGGTAAGGAAAATGGAGGCTTAAAGCCATGCAACTTACCCAAGATGATAAAACTGGGAAATGAGACCCAGACTTAAATTCACTTGAGTCTACAGTCCACATTCTAATAACTAACTAGACCATATCATTTGTATGACTTTAAATATTTGTAAGATTGAGCACTGTTCTAAGGGGTTAAGGCCATTTTCCTGCTTCTGTCTTAGCCTATTTTATTTGGGTATTCATCTTTTTCCTACTGATACAATTGAGCTTGACACAAAGGGACTTTGAAAATTTGTGGAAAAATGAAATTAAAGTATGAGTTTATTTTATTGGAAAAAATTTTGCAATTCATGCATTTTTTTCAATAGTGCACATTTTCTATGAAGTTTTTGAAGTCCCCTCATATATATTAATCAAGTGTCATACATGTTGCAAATATTCTGTTTCAATTGCCCTTTTTTCCCCCCTGTGATTTTGTTATAGGTCATGGGCATTCACTGGAGAGAGAGACAGAGACAGAGAAAGAGAATCCCCAGGGGCATTGTCAGGCCTTGCTCCCTTCTCCTCCATTCTCCTCTCCAGATTTGGGGCACATGTTTCTCTACCCACCAGCTCCAAGATTCAGACCACGTACTCAGCCATGATGGATACAGTTGTCTTAACCACGATGCCACTATTTGACCCTCGATTGTCTTTTAAGTTTGTTTAAAATGGGTTTTCCCAAACAAGAGTTTATTTATGTCAACTCTATCATTTTCCTTTGCGCTCAATGCCCTAGAAATTGTGCTTAGAACAAGTTCCCTTACCCAGTTGATTACATATTACCCATACTTTATTCTAATACTATCTTTACTGTAGTATTATATGTGTGTATATAAAAAATTTTAGGGGCCAGCAGGTGGTGTGATGGTTAAGGCACTGGACTCCCACATGGCCAATCATAGTTCAAGTCCTGGACCTGGTGGCTTGCTCTCTCTCGCTCTCTCTCGTTCTTTCTCTCTGTGTCTCTCTCTGGTGACTATAGGACATTAAAATAATAAATAAAATTAAATAAATAATTCTTAAAAAATTTTTAAGTGTATTAGTATGATAGTTTGCTACCAGGAAAAGTTTGTGAATGTGTATGCATTTAAAAAATATAGAAGTTTATGTATGAAAATGCAAATTATGATGACCTGAGTACTAGGATTATGCATGACTTATTTCACTTATTTTTCATATTTCCATAATAAAAACTATTTTTGAAAAAAATGAAGTTATTGGGTTGTCATTATCAATAGCTGTGATTCGTGGTGGGGAGGAGGTAAGCCACCCTCATGCCCACACCAGGAGGATAAATCTGAAGGAAGCTGGAAGTTTGACAAGACAACTGATATATATTCAGTACCACATTATTTTTTAGCTTGAGGAAAAAATATAAAACATCATTTGTGATGCTTCAGACAAAACTTAAAATCCTGGGGAACCAGCAGTTAGCGTAATGGCTATGTCACTGGACTCCCACGTAGTCGACCGCGGTTCGCGTCTCGGACCCGATGGCTTAAATCTCACGCCGGGCGCGTGTGCGTGCGTGCCCAAGATCCCGAGAGGAGAATGGAGGAGAAGGGATTGCGGCCTGACCATCCGCCCTGGGGGGTGATTTCTCACTTTCTGTCTCTATGTCTCTGTCTGTCTGGCGAGCGCACGCGCCCTATAGCAAAAACCTCTCCAAAAAACAAAAACAAAAACAAAAACAAAAACTTAAAATCCTGGAGGATGAAATATTTGTTTAAACACTGTCCTGCAGCCAAAGGAAGTGAGAGGAGAGGTTCAAACAGTATCTGTACAATCGCCTGGAGAGCGACATTATCCACACTGGCCAAGAGGGGGCAGCACCCCAAGTGTCTATCAACAGAAGAATGGGCAAACAAAATGTGGTCTGTACCTACAAGGGAACGTGGTTCAGATTTAGAAAAGGGCATTGTGACATGCTACAGCATGGATGAACTTGACTACCTGAAGCTAAGTAAAATAGAACAGTCAGAAAGGACAGTGAATGAGCCCACTTACGAGCGTTCCTAGAACAGTCACACTCTCAGAAACAGGAAGCAGGAGGGTTTGGGGAAGGACGGGATGAGGAGTTGCTGTTTAATGGGTACAGAGTGAGAAACGCTCCAGAGGCGGGTGGTGGTGACGGCTGCACGATGATGTAGAGGGACTTAATGCCACAGCTGTACACCCGAAAACGGTTAAAATGGCAAATTTTATGGTATGATTTGTTTTGCCTTTTACAATTAAAATACACACCAGGCTGGTTCTGTGGCCTGGGGGTTAAGAGAGCTAGATCTCAATGACCGACTGTACAGTTCGAGTCCCAGGCCACTGGTTTGAAATACACTCTGGTACGCCTGCATGTGTGGCCAGAATCCCAATAGGAGGGAGACACGGAGAAGGGACCGAGGTGTGACTACGCCCTGTGAGGGGTGCTTCCTCCCTCTTTCTCACATGTCCTCTGTCAAATAAAAATCAAACAAAACAAAAACTTGACCTATGGAATAACGGCCAACATCTTTAGCATGGCATGAAAAATCACAATATGCCCCAATTTCCATGTAACCTCTCTTATTTTCCACCATCTCCCCTCATGGCCTCTTGGGAGCAGGGACCTTCACTGGGCCTGCATCCTAGCCCCCACCGCAGTACCTGACAGCGCAGTGCTGTTCTCTGCCTGGGCCAGGCTGTAGCATCACTCATTCTGTTCCTCCTCTAGACCTCAGCCACACACCTCCACAACCCCTTGCCCTCACACCCGAGTCCTTCCTTGAAAAGCCACCCCCTCTTCTCCACTTGGCAGGCACCTGCCAATTCTTCAAGACCCTGAAACATCACCCCTTCCGTTGGTTCTTCCTCCCAGAGCTGCATCTCCACCTGCAAGCTTCCATAGCATTTACACAAAATTCCAAACTCTGCTTAACATGCGCTGTTAGGTGTTCACGTGAGAGCCATGGACATGCCCACCCCTTCCCGCCTTCCCTAGTACAGCGGGCACGGAGTAAAAGCCTCCTTCCCTGGTGCAGAAAGGAGTACAGGGAGCGCAGACTTCAATTTCCACAATCTCCGGGCCTTTCTGATTGGTCTCTGCCTGCTGCCCCCGCCGTTACTTTGAGTCTCAGGAAATCGGACGTGGGCCCCCACGTGGGTCCAGGAAGGGACCCATTAGCACGTGGGTGGGGGACGCAGACCTGGCCAATCCTGGGGGCGGGGTCAGGCCTCCATAGCCTGTGCCCACCTGTTCCAGCACCGCCCCAGGACCCGGGACATTTACAAAGGCCTTCAGTCACGGCTGGGGCAGCCCATCCACTTCCTTTTGCAGATGAGGAAAGCGAGTTCCCACCACGTAAAGGGGGACTGGAGAGCCCGGGAGACTTATGGCAGAGCTGGAATTGGAGCCAGGTCTCCTTCTGTGCCACCAGGCTGCCTTCAGCAGTAGGACCCCCAGGCTGAGGTTCGTGGGGTCCCAAGTCAAGGTCCCGTCGTTGCATTGCCTGGCGGGAGAAGCTGGGGCTGCTCTGCAACTTGGATTTGTTTCCTCTTCTGTAAAGCGGGGAGGAAAACGATCAGATTTGGGACAGCGGGAGGAGCAGATGAGATGATGAATGGAAGGGGAAGATTATTTATTAGTCACAAGCTCGGAGCCGAGCGGAATGGTGCCGGGCAGCGAGGGGTGTCGAGGGGACGTGCGCGTTCACGTCCTCTCCCCGGGCCTCAGTTTCCTCATCTGCAAATGCAGAGCCCGGCCTGGCTGACAGCCGCGGCCTCTCCGGCCCTCCCCGAGGAGCCAGCGCCGCGGCCGGGGGCCGGGGCCC